ATACACCACAGTTTCCATAAGGAATTAGATCCTCCTGGTACTGAAGTCTATATGAATGCTCAAATCCCTAGATAAAATCACATAGTATTTGGATATAATCTATGGACATCTCCCCATACAAGTTCTCCCTAAATTAAAGTGCATATTACTAAAGGAATGATAAGTTAAAACTCAACATATTCTATACCTATAAGGGTTTGGTTTTGTTGTTTTTGGCAACATTTTCAAGTGGTAGTTGATTAGATCTATAGATTTAGAATCCAGCTATGGAGGATTGAGTAATTACTTCATAGAACAAGAATGGGGGACTCAGAAATAAAATATAAATAATATCAAAATTTTAAAACTTAATAGAAGAATTAGGAGAAAAAAATTGAAGACCCCCCCCCCAGGAAAAAGAATCTAAAGACAAAACTGGAAATAAAAAGAAAAAGGGTAACTTAGAGAACTATCCCAGGAGGTTCAAAGTCTGAAAATAGGAATCCCAGGAAGAACAGAAAATAGGAAAGGAAATCATGGAAAACATAATCCAAGGGACTGAGAAGATGCTCAGTAGGTGAAGTGCTTGTCTTGCAAGCATAACAGCCTGAGTCCAATCCCCAGAATCCATGCTTTAAAAAAAAAAAAAAAAGTCAGGTGTGGTGGCAAGGGCTCATAATCCCAGCATGCTGATGGGGCCAAGACAGGCAGATCCCTACAGTACAGCTGGCCAGCTAGCTTGGTCTATTTGGCAAGTTCCAAGCAAATGAAGGAAAAAAAATCACAGATGACACCTGAGTAATGACACCTAAAGTTCTCTGGCCTCGCATACATACACATGACTGAGCATACACATGAACACTCACATACATACATACATACACACATACATATATACATACATACATACATATACTGTAAAGCATCTTTCTACTAGTCTAAATCTAAGTCCTGAGATTAATATCCTATACAAGTAAAAAACAAATATATACTCATATACAACACTAACAACATCATAGCTCTGAGAACAACAGGCGTCTTAAGGACTTAACACTGTGGAGGGAAAGAAAGATTTCTAACAAAAGGTCAGGAATTACAGAGCTACAGACTTCTCAGCAGTATCAAAAGCAAAACGGTAGAGTAATACCTTCAAAGTTCTGAGACGAATTTACTTTCTACCCAGATTCAACATTCAGCTAAACCACTATTATGGTTTAAATTGAGTTGTCTCTTGACGGCCCAGGTATTGAAGGTTTGCTGAGAGATGGGATCAGGAGGACACTAACCTCTTCAGTGGATTAATGAATGTGTGTTCATAGCTGAATGGACTATTAGGAGGTAGGGCCTGGTTGTGGAAAGTAGAGATTTGGGGATCTTTGGAGGGAACGTGTTGTCCCTAGCCCCCTTTTCTGTTACTCTTACTGCTTCCAATGCCAGGAGGTGATGGGACTTGCTTGGATTCAAGCTCTCGGCCATGATCTTCCTCTCACAACACAAACCCACAGAAATGAGGCTAAGGTTTTGAGCTGAAACCTCTGAGACCATGCTATAAATTAACAAGCTCTCCTTATCAAGCATTTGTCACAGCAGCAAAGCTCCATGATAAGAGTGAAGCTAGAATAAAATCACTTTAAAATGTGAAGATTCAAAAGATTTCTTGCCGTGTATTTGGCTCAGGATCTACTACAGGACATTCTCCACAAAACAAGGGCATCACCAAAGGAGGACCATAGGATACCTAGAAGTAGAGGCTCAAAAGCCAAAATAAAAAATATTCCCCATAACAATATAGGATGAGCCCAGGACTATAGAGCATAGCTATTTACCAAGCACAGAGAGCAACTACAAATCCAGGTTGGGACAATTTGGAAGGTTCCAGAGAGAATTTTTCAAAGAGGCAAAATTGGAGGAATAATAATGTATTTTAACAAACTAGAAATTTTACACATCTGGGGGTAAATTTGAATTTAAGTTAATGATGACTGTACTTAAGGAGGAAAAAAAAATAGTAACCCTGAAGAAAAAGTATGAGGTGTAGGTAAAGAAAGGTCATGATAAGTCTCATGACTGAGCTGTGACTAGAATTTATGTGTGTGTTATAATGTAAGCCTGTTCACTGTTAAGTCAAAATCATGCTGTAACTATTGAGAAGATGGGTGTGTGAATGATATGATTACAAGCCAATAGAGATAAATCTCATTCTTCCTTAGTGGGAAATCAGTGGAAGAATGCTTTCTAGAAAAATGAAGAAGTAAGCAACATAAGCTTGAGAGATAAAGGGGGGTCGATAAAAGGAGTGAAAGAGAAGTTGTTGCTTGTAGGAGTGGAAGTAGAGGGTGGGGTTTGTGGGAGTGGGAACGGCTTTTCATAGCAAGCCTGGTAGCACCATTTGACTCTTCAAGTGTTACATATATTTAAAATAGTAGCTAGAAATTACACCAGAATAGAGTATATTGGCATAGTAAATAAGAACAGGTGTCTTACAAAAGCGTGTATCTGGAACCAAAATAAGAAAATAACAAATGAGAAAAGCATGTGGAGACTTGTTACACATGCGTTCTATTTTATTTGGTGGACTACAGATTACGATACCAATTACGTACGTCTCCTTATGGTAATAGTATAACATAAAATTGAGAAGTTGAGAAAAAATATAAATAGGTTAAGTTTTCAAGAGAGCACTGTTGGCCTGCTGATGCTGTGATTTTAGTATTTTAGAGAATCATGTTATAGTCAGTGTCTGTTCTCACCATGTCTCTGTGTTCTGTCCATCAAATGACTAGTTCTGTCCAGTGAGTTGTAAGTGCAGGTGATTAATGTGTATTGCTACTGCAGAACCTTCCATGCCTTTCTTTCCGTTTGGTACAGTGAACAGCAGGGCTGACCAGTCAACCCAGAAAGTACACACATGAAGCATTAAACTTCTGAGATTGATGGTTATCAGTGCACAACAGCACAGTTAGAAGACTCACACTCCCACAGCTGGAAATCATTCTCCCTAGGAGCTGCCTCCTGCCCTCAGAATAGTCCTAGTATCACCATAGCTGAAGTTGTGGAACATGCCATCCCTTGTGTGTTACAAGGATATGGCCTCCAAAAAGCTCAAGATAAATTTTCCTTAAGTTCATCATTACCAGTTTTGGTCAAGGATCTGGCCAGAATTGAAGCAAAGACAGATCTTACTTTGAGTCCCCCATGACTTTAGACTAATATCTTTCAGATTACAAGACTGTTTTAAAGCAACCTGGACAAGAGACTGTTGATGTCAGTTAGCAAAAGGCTAAATTAGCAGTCGAAGACAGACATAAATCTAAAAGTGAGCTAATCATAGCTATCAATATAAGTGTGGTGAAATCTGATTTGATGGGATTTTGGAAGTGCTTTTAAAGTCAGTATAGACAC